CAATATTCAACCTCTTTAATGAATGAATTGAAAAATGATGTCTGGTCCCAATATGAGTGGTGGCATCGGCATCAACATTCACTCCACAATATTGCATGATTTGGGTGATAAGGACACCGTACGGAAGGGGTGTGTCACCGGCCTTGCATTTAAGCATATGTTGCATGATGTGATAAGGCCAATTGATAGCTATATTATTTTTAAGCACCCATATCATAAAGATATCCTCCTGCAATACCCTTGCAAAATTTGAAGGTCGTGGAGTCAACATGTGCACAATAACATAATGCAGAAGTCTATCATCAATATTCAAAGATCCAACTGTTTTTACACGTTCACCCTGCATTTCTGGTCTAACCATAGTAGCTAATGTCATATCCCGATCATAGGGAAAGTCGTGTGGGATAGTTGAATAACACAATTTGTGGCCCTGATACTTCAGATTAGCAACATTCAACCAATCAGCATGTTTCAATCTAATTCTTGTCTTGTTGACCTCAGTGACCAAATATCCATTACAAGAAATGTTCAGATTTGAATAAAAAACTTTGATCAAATCCGGATAAAAGGGTGCTTGCAACGAAATAAATTCAACCACTCCTTGAAACAACAAATGCTGAGTAAAAAATAAGTTGGAACCGGCAAATGATTCGAAATTCATTATTTTTGGCAGAACAATATTTCTTGTGTAGAAATCAGCTGCGTAATTTTCCATCTGATGGGTATGAGTGAAGAAACGACGCTGATCTAATTGTTCTGCAATAGATGGTCTGACATTGACTGCATCTTCTGGCTGAGTCACAGATTCTTTTCCCTTACGATTTTTTCTAGGCCTTTTGCTTGATGATGAGGCCATTTAACAATTTCTTCAACAAAACCATACATAAAAACATGCACAAGTTAAGTGATAATAAATTAAAGAATATTAATAATAACAACAATTAAAGACAAATCATTATTCCATAACCATAACCTTAACTTCAATATTGAACATGGATGAAGGAAACATGTAATAGTTTGAATGCAAAACATAACTACAAAGTAACCAAAACATTCTAACATTGACCACCCGCTATCATTTTACATAACTTGTTCCACCTCTTGTGTGGTGGAAGTCCCATTAACCTCTTTGTACAAGTGGGGTTTGAACATAAGAAATCATAACATTGATCGAGCAAGTTTTCATCAGAAATATTCATAGCACTCAACATTTCGTAAATGTCGCTCTCTGTGTATGTGTACGTGGAGGAGCGACGGAGTATTTGATTTCTGTCTTCCATTGCTGATACTTGACGCACAACAGCATCAGAAATTACACCAAAGTGAACATTTGTTGAGCTGAGGACATCTGTGAAACCATCGAGGCTGGATTTCAACTTATCAAATTGTGCATCTATCGCATCGACCATAGGTGCCTTCCTTTTGGAACCTCGTGAGGATGAAGTTCCTCCGGATGGAACGGATGGCACAGACTGAGTCTGCCCTGGACTGTACTCATCCACGGATGGAGGAGGTGATGGTGGAGTTGGGTCTCTATAGTCATGATAGTTAGGCTCTTCAAGAATGTACTCCATATTCTGATTCAAATCAACCTGTACACGAGGCCCAACCCGTTGACGACGCGCTTGACGAGCGGTCCGAACACCACTCCCAGTTGCTCGATCCGCAGCCCATAAATCGACCATTAAATCGTAGTGTCTTATGCTATTAACCCTCCACTTGGTTGCAGTTGGCCTTGACTGAAACAACACACATGACACAAATAGTGGTTGAAGTTATGTGTTTCAAGAATCTACGAAATCTTAATTTTTAACAAATACCTGGATGAGATCAGCCCACACTTCGTCCTCAGCTTCAAATCTCATAGTAACGGCGTTCCATGCAAATCCACTCAATCCACCAAAGAGGTCATGAACCTCACGCCATCTGTCTTTCAATACCTTTTGACGATTTTTGACATTATTTTTAGTAACATTAACATAACCACAACTATGAAGGTATTGAACCATGTTATTATACGCTTGGGTTGTCCAACTACCATCAACCCTATTACCCAAACGACTCTCCTCAATCATAGAATGCAAAAGCTTAGCATCCATGTCCTCAGTCCATTTAACGAACTCTCTTGTAGCAGCAGATGACTTGATCATTTGTCCCTTACCCCTGTCCATATTTAACCTATTTGATAAAGAAAATTTATACAAGTGAAGTAGAGTTAATCATAAAACCAAGTACATGTCAAATTCAAAAAACACAGTCATAATAAAATGATATCAAATACAATACTATTAATGTTCATAATCTCGCCACATTTCATCAGCTATGGCATCCCTAATAGTTGTACCGACCCTATAATCATCTTCTCGAACTTGAGAAGATGCCACGTTATGGTCTTCCCCTTCATTTAACTCATTATGAACCTCATTAAGCAATGGGTCATCCCTATCAACTCCACGGATAAAGTTGTGTAGGATACAACAAGCTAGAATGATGTCTGTCATTGTCTCCAATCCATAATGTGGTTCACTTCCACTGGCAATGATAGGAAACCTTTTCTTCAACACACCAAATGTTCTTTCTATAACATTTCTCAATGATGAATGTCTATGATTAAAGAGCTCAAATGCATTTTGTGATCCTGTGCGTGTGAATTCTTTAAGATGATATCTCACGCCTCTGTATGGTGTCAATATTGTACTTTTTAGCATAAACCCAGCGTCGCCAAGATAGTACTTTCCTACAATAATGCATAACATCAGCATTTACTAATTAATAAACAACCAATCATAACATCCCAATGAAGACACTGACCTTGGGGGATGACCAACGGATCATCTCGATCGAGAGCATTTTTTAAGATTCTAGAATCAGATGCTGTTCCTTCCCACCCCGCTAGAACGTATGTGAATTTCATATCAAAGTCACATGCGGCAAACACATTTTGAGTTGGCCAATCTTTTCTTCCACAAAATCTTGGAGCATCTGTTCATGGCACTCTTACACGAACATGAGTACCATCTATGGCCCCTAAGCAATCCTAAACATTCAAATAACAAGTCATCATACAAATGCGAAACATAAACATTGTTTCGTAAAAGTGCTTCAAAACTGACAGATTCATATGCTTACCTTAAAGTACGGATAAAACCGATTGTTGTTTAAGACATATGGATGCACCTCGTCTCTTGATGGTTGAGTTAAAAATTCAGATTCTAGACTTAAAATAGCATCCAACACATTGTGAAAGTGTTTGCTAACCGTCGCCCCAGATCGATGGAAGAAGAATGCGACACTTCGATTCTTAACATTATGCCCAATTATATGAAGAAATTGAGCTACTTGTTCCTCCACTGTTGAGCGAATGGCATCTTTAACTAACCCAGTTGTTCTTAGTCTCTCACAAAGATTAATAAATGCCTCTGGACCCATCCGAATGATGTCACGACATCGATTAGTATGCACCAAGTACGACATTAACTGTTGCCTGCGACGGTCTTTGTCGGGAAGGAAAGTGCTAACACTACTTGGATCACTCGAGCACATATTCAATATATTCAAGGCATGACAAACAATGCATAACATTGTTAGTGCAGCCATTGAGGTTGTTATTTGTAATTGTTGATGTAACATTGCGACTATATTAAAGTCTACACCAACCACATCGTCGTCTATATCTTCACGGTCCAAGTACGACAAATCTAATTCTTCTTCCATCTATTTTTACTTAAATAAATAATCATACTATAATTAAAATCATGCATTCATATATTCATCAAACATATGTTATTCATATTATCATATATTCATATATAAAGAAATTTAACTAATACATTCATATATTACTAAAATTAAAGGACATATATTTAACCTAAACATTAAAAACGCATTCTTATATTAATTAAAAATAAACAAACAATCACATTTACCTGTTGAAGATCTGTGTATGTAGATTTCCAAGTATGAATTAGCCAAAAGAGTCAAACCGCAACCACAAATATACTCAAAGATTCACTGATTCTTCAATAGCCAAAGTTGGATGGAAAGTTTGTTATGTATTCCAACTATGTCACACGAAACCTGTAAATATGATAATATTAGATAATGGTTAAAAAGCAATGTCTACAAATTTTGTAATTATTAATCAACCTTCTTCAACAAAGTAAAGTCTATTTGTGATCCAGAGAAATTAATACAGCTCAATCTTCAATGTTCTTCCATGTTCAACTAACAAACTAATTTATCTGGGCTTCTCCCAACAACATTCACAGATAAGCTTCTTCAACCACAGAAATTACTCCTGCTTGGTGGACAAAAACATGCACACACAACCTTCTTCACCGTAACCAACAACTCCGGTCCAACACCTGCAAAATAATTAAAGAAAGCATGATGAAGTTCATAACAAATCACAACACACACCCTCTATTCAACAATATTGAAGCACAATCATCTACTTACACCACGGAGCAGCTTGCAATTCAATGTTTAAGCTTGTAATTCAACACTCTAACAACACCTGCATCAAAAACCATCACAAACAAATCGTTAGTCGTATCATATTTCACCCAATAACACCACATCTGCGTTCTTCTCAGCATCCTCATGTGTGCCCATCCTCCTCCTTGGTGCACTGCTTGAACTGTGAAACAACCGCCGTGCATCCTTCTCCAATCACATCGGCATCGTCGCTGGTCGACGGACCATCAAATGCTGCCTCCATTCTCACTCATCACGGACAGCTTCGTCTACTGGTGAAACCTCCATGCGCAGCGAGCTTCTCCACGCCAAACATCACATGCTGCAAGCTTCTCCACGCCTGACTCTGCCAACGACGAACCAAACCGGACGACCTCCATCACATGCGCGTTGCCACCTTCTCCACCCCAAACTCTGCCAACAACGAACCAAATCGGACGACTTCCACGGAACGACGACGACCTCTGTATCAGGATCCAAGCCGCAACATTCAAACCGTATCCGAATACGCATGATTGTATCCGGATACGCATGAGTGTATTCGGATAAGGTTTCCTAGCGATTTCTTCATCCACGGTGTATCCGGATATGCCTTCTCTCATCCGGATACGTTCACACCCTTCTTCTTCTCCGCCTTCACGCAGAGTCATCTTCTTCATCACCGATTCTGTTATTCATCTCCTCCACCGATAGTCTTCATCTACCTCCATCACTTGCAACATAAAAACGATAAACAGCTATAAACAACTACAATCAAAACTCACCTTAGCTTTTTCTCTTCCAGCAGCACCAGCACTGAAACACCTTAGCTTTCTCTCTTCCAGCACCATTGAAACACACTTCCACTTCGAGCTCTTGAACTTGCTTAACCCAATGCTACTCTCGCTTCTTCAATTAACACAACCACACAATGCTCTTCTAGGTTCTGCATTTAACATAACAAGGCTAACACTGTGGATGAAGAAACCGTGTGAACTGTTGATAATTCATGCGCGAATCTTCACTGTTTGGTGTTTGGACGTCTGAACCAAAGCTTCAGGAATCTCTTGTGCATATTACAGCTTTTCCGTGAGTGCACAGTACCTTCCAACTTTCGAATACTAACTCAACCTGCAACGTACGAGTTGGAAAATTTTTAAATGTTGGGGGCACATGAGTAATTATGCAAGGTATCCCTCCAAATCTTCTCAACTCTGCGGGTGACCAAAAAGAGCGACATCCCGCAATTCAATCGTCTTTCTTCTTCGCAAACTCCATGAAGTGAACACGGTATTCGTTCCTTTTCATCGCTCGCTAAACCTCATCAACAGTAAATTCATGCGAAGTGAACACAGCCTAAAAGTTTAGGATTTTGATTCGAAGATACTATCTTGCTATTTTAGAGTTTCTTCATAGTTCATGCTATCTTGATTCGAAAATTTTTAAATGTTGGGGGCACATGAGTAATTATGCAAGGTATCCCTCCAAATCTTCTCAACTCTGCGGGTGACCAAAAAGAGCGACATCCCGCAATTCAATCGTCTTTCTTCTTCGCAAACTCCATGAAGTGAACACGGTATTCGTTCCTTTTCATCGCTCGCTAAACCTCATCAACAGTAAATTCATGCGAAGTGAACACAGCCTAAAAGTTTAGGATTTTGATTCGAAGATACTATCTTGCTATTTTAGAGTTTCTTCATAGTTCATGCTATCTTGATTCGAAAATTTTTAAATGTTGGGGGCACATGAGTAATTATGCAAGGTATCCCTCCAAATCTTCTCAACTCTGCGGGTGACCAAAAAGAGCGACATCCCGCAATTCAATCGTCTTTCTTCTTCGCAAACTCCATGAAGTGAACACGGTATTCGTTCCTTTTCATCGCTCGCTAAACCTCATCAACAGTAAATTCATGCGAAGTGAACACAGCCTAAAAGTTTAGGATTTTGATTCGAAGATACTATCTTGCTATTTTAGAGTTTCTTCATAGTTCATGCTATCTTGATTCGAAAATTTTTAAATGTTGGGGGCACATGAGTAATTATGCAAGGTATCCCTCCAAATCTTCTCAACTCTGCGGGTGACCAAAAAGAGCGACATCCCGCAATTCAATCGTCTTTCTTCTTCGCAAACTCCATGAAGTGAACACGGTATTCGTTCCTTTTCATCGCTCGCTAAACCTCATCAACAGTAAATTCATGCGAAGTGAACACAGCCTAAAAGTTTAGGATTTTGATTCGAAGATACTATCTTGCTATTTTAGAGTTTCTTCATAGTTCATGCTATCTTGATTCGAAAATTTTTAAATGTTGGGGGCACATGAGTAATTATGCAAGGTATCCCTCCAAATCTTCTCAACTCTGCGGGTGACCAAAAAGAGCGACATCCCGCAATTCAATCGTCTTTCTTCTTCGCAAACTCCATGAAGTGAACACGGTATTCGTTCCTTTTCATCGCTCGCTAAACCTCATCAACAGTAAATTCATGCGAAGTGAACACAGCCTAAAAGTTTAGGATTTTGATTCGAAGATACTATCTTGCTATTTTAGAGTTTCTTCATAGTTCATGCTATCTTGATTCGAAAATTTTTAAATGTTGGGGGCACATGAGTAATTATGCAAGGTATCCCTCCAAATCTTCTCAACTCTGCGGGTGACCAAAAAGAGCGACATCCCGCAATTCAATCGTCTTTCTTCTTCGCAAACTCCATGAAGTGAACACGGTATTCGTTCCTTTTCATCGCTCGCTAAACCTCATCAACAGTAAATTCATGCGAAGTGAACACAGCCTAAAAGTTTAGGATTTTGATTCGAAGATACTATCTTGCTATTTTAGAGTTTCTTCATAGTTCATGCTATCTTGATTCGAAAATTTTTAAATGTTGGGGGCACATGAGTAATTATGCAAGGTATCCCTCCAAATCTTCTCAACTCTGCGGGTGACCAAAAAGAGCGACATCCCGCAATTCAATCGTCTTTCTTCTTCGCAAACTCCATGAAGTGAACACGGTATTCGTTCCTTTTCATCGCTCGCTAAACCTCATCAACAGTAAATTCATGCGAAGTGAACACAGCCTAAAAGTTTAGGATTTTGATTCGAAGATACTATCTTGCTATTTTAGAGTTTCTTCATAGTTCATGCTATCTTGATTCGAAAATTTTTAAATGTTGGGGGCACATGAGTAATTATGCAAGGTATCCCTCCAAATCTTCTCAACTCTGCGGGTGACCAAAAAGAGCGACATCCCGCAATTCAATCGTCTTTCTTCTTCGCAAACTCCATGAAGTGAACACGGTATTCGTTCCTTTTCATCGCTCGCTAAACCTCATCAACAGTAAATTCATGCGAAGTGAACACAGCCTAAAAGTTTAGGATTTTGATTCGAAGATACTATCTTGCTATTTTAGAGTTTCTTCATAGTTCATGCTATCTTGATTCGAAAATTTTTAAATGTTGGGGGCACATGAGTAATTATGCAAGGTATCCCTCCAAATCTTCTCAACTCTGCGGGTGACCAAAAAGAGCGACATCCCGCAATTCAATCGTCTTTCTTCTTCGCAAACTCCATGAAGTGAACACGGTATTCGTTCCTTTTCATCGCTCGCTAAACCTCATCAACAGTAAATTCATGCGAAGTGAACACAGCCTAAAAGTTTAGGATTTTGATTCGAAGATACTATCTTGCTATTTTAGAGTTTCTTCATAGTTCATGCTATCTTGATTCGAAAATTTTTAAATGTTGGGGGCACATGAGTAATTATGCAAGGTATCCCTCCAAATCTTCTCAACTCTGCGGGTGACCAAAAAGAGCGACATCCCGCAATTCAATCGTCTTTCTTCTTCGCAAACTCCATGAAGTGAACACGGTATTCGTTCCTTTTCATCGCTCGCTAAACCTCATCAACAGTAAATTCATGCGAAGTGAACACAGCCTAAAAGTTTAGGATTTTGATTCGAAGATACTATCTTGCTATTTTAGAGTTTCTTCATAGTTCATGCTATCTTGATTCGAAAATTTTTAAATGTTGGGGGCACATGAGTAATTATGCAAGGTATCCCTCCAAATCTTCTCAACTCTGCGGGTGACCAAAAAGAGCGACATCCCGCAATTCAATCGTCTTTCTTCTTCGCAAACTCCATGAAGTGAACACGGTATTCGTTCCTTTTCATCGCTCGCTAAACCTCATCAACAGTAAATTCATGCGAAGTGAACACAGCCTAAAGGTTTAGGATTTTGATTCGAAGATACTATCTTGCTATT